AACAAAGATAAGTGCTGACGACAAATACCCTGTGGAAGAACGTGTATGTTTGTAAAAAAACAAAAACACATCCGGTAGTAGCATCATACATTTGCGAAGGATTTTGACACTTTTAAGGAAGGTCGATTAATATCTGTGCACCATTAGGAATGGCAATCCTATTGAAACTTGCTTATAATATGCTTGTACATTTAGAGGACATGGGCAAAGTGACATGGTCATCACATATTAAAAACATTTTGTTTTCTCATGGCTACGGCTTTGTATGGTTAAACAGTTGGTGATGTTAAACTCTTTTTGAAACAATTTCGTGAACAATCTACACATATGTTTTATCAGGAATGGCATTCCACTCTAGAAAACAGTTCAAGGTATGACTTGTACAGAACGTTTAAGAGTCTTATTCAACCAGAAAAATGCTTAGCAACATTACCATCAAGAACTCTTCGACGTCCATTTATTCAAATTAGGCTCGGATTGTTAGATCTCATGATAAATGAAGGAAGGAAAATGTCCACTGAAAAGTCGAAGAGGCTGTACCCATTATGTCATTCAGCTATAGAAAATGAAATTCATTTTACTTTTGTCTGTCCTTATTATTATGACCTAAGAAGAAAGTTTATACCAGAACGCTATCTGTCAAATTATCCTGTACCTGCTTTTATTTCTCTTCTTTCTTCAAAAGATGATGCTGTCATATTAAAACTGGCTATATATGTTCAAAATGCAATTTCCCCAGAAACAAATTGTTAAACATGAGTATATATCCAAATATGTAAACTACTGATTTGTAACTATCTTGTATATGGGCCGGAGGCCTGACATGCAATAAATATCTTTGACTTGACTTGATTCTGCTGACCATAAATTGAGATTTATTTCATTTCTTTCATTATGTCTCAACTAGTGATTCAGCGTTTGTAACGCGCAAAGCTTCTACAAGCTATTGGTATGCTGGAAACTGGCAGAAGTTATCATGCAGCGGCCATTACTTTCAATGTTTCACAGTCTGTGATTAGCAGAAAATGGAACAGGTACCAACAAACCCAAAATGTTGAAGATCCAGTCCGTTCAGGGCATCAACGGGCAACAATAGGATTACAGGCTCTTCAATACCAACTGTGAATTAAATTGCTGAAAACTCTCATCAGGCTACTGGAGTACAAGTTACACATCAGACGACTTGCGGCCCTTCTCCATGCTGGACGTCTACGTCTTGTGCCATCCCTTGCAAATCGCCATATTGACAACAGACGTCAATGGTGTACAAAACGTCGAAACTGGGGTTATCGCCGCTGGTCATGTGTGAATATTTCAGATGAGTCCCGATTTACTGTGCACTTCCTTGATAGGCTTGGTCGTGTCTTGCGACGTTGAAATGAACGTCAACCTGAGACCTCCTTCAGATTTGGCAGTTCATTTGGTGTAGATTGTCCAGGTGACGTCATTGCAAACAAGAGTCACTAGACAGTATTTTCGAGACGAAATACTGACACCCATTTGCGAGGCGTGTCGGTCACCAGACACAAATCGTCAATGCTCACCTCCATCAGCACAACATCAATAGCATGCCATGGCCAGAAATGAACCCAGGCCTTTTCAGAACTTGGTCAGGTGCTGCTATAGGAGTTGGATAGACTCCCTCAAATCGCCAGTGGGAGATTCATGCACAGTATGCCTCGTCAAGTAAATGAATGTGACGGTATACGCACTACTGATCCCAAAACTACAACTTTGAAATTGCTCATATCTTGCCCCTAGCATCCTTTATTTTGTAAGAAAACTGAAGCTACTTTTAATGCAACGACCAGACGAAAATACATTTGAAGCTTGTATTGTACCAGAGATAAACTATTCAAACATCTTGTTATTTAAGTTGCAATACTTATTTGGATAGCCAACACAAAACATTTACTTACAATAGGCAAATAAAAACAGCTATAGCTAATAATGGATCAAACTATGGCATTCATGATACACGTATTGATATGATATATCTCTTACAACTAAGGTTCATTTCAAGAGTGAGTTGAAGTAATCTGATAATATATAGTTGCTGGTTCACAACTGATTTGATGGAATTAATACACACCATGTTTAGTGAAGCTTTTACGTTACTTTGGTGGTAATACTTTTGTTTTCGAGACAATATAAAAAAATCCTCGTCTGTGTGTACAATGAGGACATCAGTGAGTCAGAACAGGTATCTTTTAGTTTACATTTAATGGGGTTGTTTTTTTTAAAGACAGATTTGTGATTAATAGAATGGAATTTTAGTCAATTTTGTTACTTGGGGAAATTATCTGTATCCAAAGGATTGCAGTTTTTAATCGGTAATAACAGGTTTGTAACCTGTAGGTGTATGCTGGATCTGTGCCATGTTCACACTGGTACCAGGGAATGCAGAGAACTTTAAAGTTTACGCTATTTTGAATGGGAAGCCAGAGAAAATATCTCAGAAGTGGCGTTACATGTCAATCCTTTGATAACAGGACAACAGCGTTCTGGACCTTTTGCAAATTCTACATGAATGTTCCTTCGTTTGATAAAATCACACTTTGTTCAAACCCCTGTGATTGTTTTGTAAATAAATATGTCACCTTGTCATTGACTGTTTTATGCCCTTTTTTCAGTCTACCATTAGCAACTCTACATGGTTTGAGCCACACGCTCCTAGTATTGAAAAGAAAACTCATCATAATCACTGCAGCAGAATGTTTTAGTCAACAGTATTTTCCTCAAACTATTGGACACATTGTTTTGAAAAATCAAATAATGTTGTTTTGACACTTGTTAAATTACTGTACCTGTCGGAGTTTACATACTCAACTACCCCTTCCTGAGCGCATATTTATCATGGCTTTTTGATTGACTTTGAAGGTCAATGTCTATACTTTATAAGCACTATGTATTGCAAAAAGCAACGACAATGGAAATGGTGGGCCTATACAATTCACTTTAGTGGTTAGGTAATCCTACTTGCAACGAGTATCTTGTTTGCGAAATGGGTTTTCATCAAGCAATATCAATACAAATTTGTGATAAACGCGTGAATTATTTTTTGAATGAACTGGCATATTCTTCAACTTTACAGAATGGCACCGGAATTATAAGTTCTTATTTTTCAGCAACTAAATATGGCAGGGAATTGAGCACTACTTTTAGCAAGGCAAACATTCCATTGTCGGGGCAGATTTTCTGAGTAAGAGATCATCATCAGCCTATAACAAGCTCTCTGGTATGTATATCAATACTGTTCATTTACCAGAAAATATGTTCCTGAAAGAACAATAATGTCACCAACATTTGAATAATTCCTTCAGGTAACACACCCTGTCACCTTCTGAGAGCCATTTAACATTTGCTTATCTACCTACCCACACCTGCTTACGGCATATATTTCGTAGCCTTTTGTAAGTGTGAGAGAAGATGTAAGGCATTGGTTCAACATTATAGTGTGTGTTTGTGTCATCGCCCATGAAATGATATTCTTCCTCTTGCATCTTTCTCTCATCTGTTAGCAGTGTTATGATTACCTCAACTTCTTTACGTTACTGATTGTTTGTCCTATGTTTCAGAATGGCACTGTTGACCTTGACTCGGCTTCTTCAGCAAGTGGCTTAAGCAAGACACTAAGTGATGCACACACTCAGACTTTCCAGTGTTCTGTGACTGGGCAGGGATCAGAGTGTGTAACACCGAACTCCACAGATGTAACCTGTATCTCAGGTAAGACAGTGTTTGTAGTGTGTGCCTCATTCTAAGAACTTGGTATTGCTTATCCATACTTCAAACATCATAGGCAATCACTTCGATTTTTTATTATGTCACAGCAAGATTATCATCAAACTATTTTTTTCTCACACATAATGAATGAATGATCTCAAAACCTTAGGATTTCAACAGAATAGGACTATTTTAATAGAAAATAATCATGTTTAAGAAGTCTGTCAAAATGTCTTGGATCTGAAACACCAATACCAGTTGTACACAACCATGTCCTCCCAGTGCTCCAGATAAACTGAATTTCTCCAATATGCAAATGCAATATGCATAAAATAATCTTGAGTAAACTACGAACAGATACACTTAAATTACTTTAAAAACCCAGTAGATTAACACCATATCCATAATAACACAATCTTGCGTTTGCAGTTTGAGTACCTGTATGTTTTTACTTATCTTTCCTGACTAAATGAAGCCTTCATTTCTCAGTTTTGGCTTGATAATAGAAGACTTGATTGATAAATACTATCGGTTGATTAAAGTGTTATGCTCAGAGGGCGGTGTTGCCCAAAATACTCTACAAATCCACGTATACATGAACTTTATGCAGTTTACACTGGTGATAATGCTACAGTCAATGTTGATGTTCAGTGTAAGTATATAAATTACACTAGTGACAGTGCTACAGTCAGTGTTGATGTTCAGTGTAAGTATATAGTCTACACTGGTGACAGTGTTACAGTCAGTGTTGATGTTCAGTGTAAGTATACAGTCACTGGTGACAATGTTTTAGTAGGTGTTACAGTCAGGATCGTGTCTGAAGGTGAGTGCGAGAAAATTTTCACACCTCAGCATTTTACTAAGTCAATACTTACATATTTGCAATTTGTCTTGTTATTATTTTTCAAAGGTTTTAGCATACTACTCATATGTTTGATGATATTCATTTTTCCAATGAAAATAACAGATTTCACTTGAAATTGTAAGTGTACACCAATCAGAATCATTATGTTTTTTAGTTGTAATAGTTGTAGTTTCTTTGTTTAAGTTTTTCAGACACATTGACTCATTGTCATACATTAATCATTCATTCCTCATTTTGTTTCCTACTTTATTGTTCAATGGTCGGTTGGTTGGTTGAGTATCTACTGTGTTGCTTTCTAACTTAATTGAGTAGTTCGTTGCATTCATTGCTTGATTACATATTTGCTTGATTTTATTTGAATGTATGCTATTTATATATGTTTTTTCATGATGTCAAGCATATGGTTTAATCTGATTGATGTACATTTGATTGCTAGGTTCTGCTGAGACACCATCGGTTTACCGCTCTCGACAATGCGAACATAATGTTTATCATGGCAACCTTGGACATGGAGAACACATGCAGACGTTCCTGGTTGAGCATGTCCAGTTTACTTCAAGATCTGCACAACATACCGAATACAGACAGGGTTATGGTTGTGGAAGTGATATGTTTGACCCGAGAATATAATCACCAAATTATACCACAGCAACTATACCACAAATACAGCCTATAGTCATGTTGGTCATATAGGCTGCTAGGTATACTTGTGACTAAAGTAGGATCAAGGCAACCTAATTATCTCGCTTTTGAAATTACTAGTTTTGTTATTATCTATATGTGTCTACTTGCAACATAGAAGAGAAACACTATGGATATTGATCTGTGATACTAAAACCAAGTTGTTTCTTATTCCATTTCATATTTACGTTTCGTATGGGAACGTTTAAGGGGGGTAGAATATCCTTTTTTCCCGTGTATAGCTAAACAAAAGCAACAAAACAGTTTCACTGAAGAATGACAAAACATGAAAGACTGACGTCTAGATATCAGATGAAAATGATCCCTCTTGACACGAGCCACACTGCCATAATGAATTCATAAACATGTGGATTTTGTCATATCAATACTGATACATTTTCATTACAAATAAATTCATTCAGGCGTGAACAATATTAGTACTATAGGAAAGTGAAATTGCATAAGTACGAACAGGAATCGCCATGTGGCTACTTGTTTTTAAACATGTGTTTATATCCGTTCAGATGCTGCCGATTCCCCAGACAGTGGAACTGCATGGACTGGAATAATAGCATGGACTGCAACAGGCACTCGGAAGCTTGCTTGTACTCACAGTAGGAATTCTTATGATGCTGTTACCCAGAAACAATTTTATATCTGTATCTACCAATCAGCTGTGAAATATCAGGGTGAACCTATGCTTAAAATGTACTGAGTAATTCATTAATTCGTAAAGACAATGTGATTTTTATTTGATAAAGTGCGCTAAAATAAAGTGTTACAAAAACCGTAAACCATATGATCACTAAATTGTAGCAGTAAAGAAACAGAACATACTATGTCGTTCGATTGGCTTCGTGATATGACAGTTTCCAGAAGGCCGGCTCTGCCTATAAAAGAGTGAGACGCGGGCGATTCGAGGTCTTCTACAACCACCCCTGCGTCTGTTGCGCTTGTTCAGACGGGCTACCTTTCTGAGAACTCCAACTTCCTGCCAGCTACCATTACTGTTTCCAGATTTAAGAACGACGCACGTGAGTGTTTTTAAAGACATTTAGTGACAAATTCTGCACATTCGTGAGGGCATTGCCATTTATCATACGTTTTGTTACTAATTGCTACTGCCCCTTATTTGACCAATTGCTCTGCCATTTATGATTGGAAACTTAAAATTGTGTGCGTCAATATAATTTGTTAATTATTCATTGATATTGTGTGTCTATTTCCTGATTTCAAGTTCTGTATATCTCGATTTGGAAATGACCCCTGACAATGGACCAGTTGTATACATCGCCGCAATTAATTTGATTATGTCCCTTTGGCGTGCCAGGATCCAGATCATGTTAACAACAATACACGTGGCGTCATTATCCCTGAATATATGTTCCCATGACCCCGGCTTTATGTATAAATGTGTTTTGATACAGAAACACAACTGGAATTATATATTTGAAGATATGGTATCATGGGATATAAACCCTTAAGTATGTAAACCAGTTATTAAGTTCTGGGTGTGTTTGATAATCGCATCTTCTAGTTGCATACTCATTTGGTTGCAACTTTGTTTCATTTCAGATGGCAACCAAGCCCAGCAGTCGATACTGAATATTTGGTAGTCACACAAACAACATCACTCACAGTTGAAGATGTATGAGAATACCGAAAATTAATTATAATTTATCCATTAACCCATGGTATTACATTTTCCTGATTAATGTGTAAGGAAGAGGTAGGATATATTTTAGAAAAGGGAAAAAAATATTTATAAAGTCGAGCTTCCCTCTAACAAAACAGTTGTACTCAGAGTAAAAGGAAAAACTAGATGAAGTGATTGCTTACATTATGTCCACCGTTCGTCATTCTTGCCAATAAAGTGTCTATTCAGTTTGATGCAAACACATGCTTGTATTAGTTTTTGTATCGTTGAAGCCATTAAAACAGAATTTACTAAACCTAGAGTTATAATTATATCTTTTCAGGAAACACACCCAAAAGAGGTTAATGTTCGAACTACAATAAAACAGAGAATACCAGATCCATAATGACAATGCATATGCATCATCTGTTGTCAGTGGTTAGATGTCGAATTGTTGAGGTTAGATCACAATGATGAAACCCTGTTAACTTCTAACTAGTCCATCGACACTGTATGTCACGACCACTCTGAATGTCAGCTTCAACGTAAACACCAACGACAGTCTCTGACTGGCGGTGCATGCAGTGGGTCAGGGAGAACATACCTAACTGAGGGATTGTTGGCGACGTGTGACACGAGACCTCGCTGTGTACAGTCACTCATTCACTACTATCGCATATATATAGTTACATTCATCTTTCTTCAAAAACATGTTTGGCTACGTGAGCAATCGAAGAAAGACCGAATAATAGAACGCGTAAAAACTTGTCAACCAGGAAGTGTGTACTAATTGATATCTACCGCCACAGAAGTGTATGACTTGCTGTAAGCCTCTATATGTGAAACAGGTGTAAACACATGCACTTATGTCGAGAAAAATCGATCAACCTGCCAAGCATAATTTAAAATACTCGGTGTCTGCATCACGAAGTTGCAGATAATTCTTTTTACATTCACAACCTACAAGAGGAGATAAGCAACATTATATATGGCAGAGACGTACCCGCTGTACTACTGTTATTGACGTGCACTCAATATACTCTATACTCTAGTAGTGTAATGCTTTGTAAATCTGTATGCACCTCATATTTCCCTGTTCCCACCCTATCTGTGTACACCTCACACTTAGAGTCTACACAATGCACTGACATGATACATATGACAGGTGGTGCAATATCTAAATGAGAGTTCCACTCCACTTTGATCACTATTGCAATAATATCATATGTGTGTATGTCTGTTTAGTGAAATGTGACAGTTCAGCTTCCTAGTTTGGTGAAACCCACATGCACTTTAAGGGACAATTCTGTTACCAGCGGATCCTAATGACGGAACTAAGTATCTATTACTATTACTATTGGCAACTGGTGTTGGGCTATATCAAGTACATACAGTCCATGTTTATTTTAAACATCATTTAGAAATAAGACACAATCAAATATCAGACAGTGTTAAATTTGCTTTCGAGACAGTTAGGCTGAGACTTTAACATAGACTAATTCACCAAAAGACCCGTGAAGATCCGGGGTAGAATAGGTCTTCAACAACTCATATTTGCCGTAAAAGGCGACTATGTTTCTCGTAAAAGGCGATTAACGGATCGGGTGGTCAGACTCGCTGACTTGGTTGAAGCATGTCATCGATCCCGATTGTGTGGATCGATGCTCATGATATCAAACCCTGGATTGTCTGGTCTAGACTCGATTATTTACAGACCGCCGTCGTATAGCTGGAATATTGCTGAGTGCGGCGTAAAACAACAAACGAACCAACCAACTTCCAACTACTTTTATGATGTACTGGCCTGGTATATTTCCGAAATATTCGTTAAAGGTAAGACATTTTCCCTAATTAGTCAACTCGTTCCTTGTAACATTTTCTTGTTTTTGAAAGGCCCTGACAACATAAACATTGGTTAAAGAACTTTCTGTAGAATGAGCGAGTTTGATGAAACACTGCTTTGAACAGTATTTCTTTTATATCCCATAGTGTCAGAGTAATGTTCCTTATTCTTCTGGTCAATGGGGCTATAATGTTTGCTCTAATGTTAACAGATGTTCAAAAACCGACACACGATAACATTTCCAGATATATATGTCAGAGAATATGGCATTAAATCACTCCCTCCCATACAGCCATATCTCTTCATGAAAACATTTACAGTCTGTCATTCTCTCTACTGGTGGTTGGCATTGAGTGAACTCCAAACAGGATGATAAGTGTTCACTGTTTCATACACTGCAGCAAGCAGTGAAGCACAAGGTAGACATTAGCTGTTGTGCCTATCTTCTGTAGGTCTGCATTAGCATGCAGCTGACACATTATTAAGCCGTTCTTATTGATGATCTCACTGACAAACTTTAGAAGACTGATATCAGTGAGTAGGTATATACTGGCGGGGGACGTGATACAAATCAGTGACTCGCACATTGTACCCAGGCAGGGAAACATTCCCAGGTCTCACTCTATGACGTATGTGCTGCTCTCTTTCAAATCCACTTACTTTGATTGTAAACTACTTCATACAGACTTCATACGAACAATAAACGAAAATGTGTATATTTGTAGTCCATACATTATATGTAGTTTCTCTCATTGAACTACAGTATGATAAACTAGTGTTTATCAAGCACTGAATAGAATGTCATGTCATTCACTTTCACAGTGATAAATTTGATTAGACTTGCTGGTATTAGACACCAGGTGTTGCATTAATCTACTACTTGAACAGCTGCAGTCAATGTTACACGCAACATTCACAAGCACGATGAACGGTAGCTGTCTATTTCGTAAGGAGAACAGTACTTGTGCTGCCTAGCGTCTGACGACATGTGTCTGACGACTTTCATGAATAAACTGTGGGAAAGCCACGAGAAAACAGTTTTATTCTGCACAGCCACACCCGGTCAGTCTTCATGGTAAATGGGCTACTAAGTAACATCACTGAACATATGCATGCATTGAACAGAACTGGAGCGTTGAGGCGAGCTGTTGACTACGGAGCACCGTCAGGGACACGTGCAAAAAAATGTAATGCTCGAGCGTGTAAAACGTTAAAATGTGTTTGGTTCCAAGAACAGAGTTCAGAAATTAAGTTATTACAGGGTTAGGGGCTGTATTTTAATAATAGTGTCAGCTTGTGAAACCTGAAGAAAACTCTTATGCTGATTGACACTATGTGAGGCAAATCTGGGGACAGGACATTTCGTGAAGTGGTAGGTTTAGGTAAAAAATATTTTAGTAATATGGAAACAATTGCGCACATGATATCACAACTTAGAACGCCCTCCCCCATAGTTACATGTATGATTATTTACAATTAATAATTAATTAGCAGAAAGAAAAGATCAGAAATAGATATCTGTATGCTGAACGTGACTTGGCACATACACACACAAACACACACACACACTCACACACACACACACACACACACACACACACACACACACTCACACTCACACACACACACACACACACACACACACATACACATACACACTACACAGCGTCCGATTACATCCTCACAGTAACAATAACAAATTTATGTCATTCTATCTACCGACGGTTGTTGTGGTTGATCGCGTTATGACTGCTAACAGGAAGTAATATAACAAGGGCTTCCTGTGAAATTCTACACTACAGCGCACAGTCCCCAAATAGCATGTCAGGTACGTGCTTTTGTTACAACACTGGGTCACAATCTGCAGACGCATATACTACTCAGCTTGTCTGTTGATATACTGCTGTCTGTTGATATACTGCTGTCCGTTGGTATACTGTTGTCTGTTGATATACTGTTGTCTGTTGATATACTGATGTCTGTTGATATACTGCTGTCTGTTAATATACTGCTGTCTGTTGATATACTGCTGTCTGTTGATATATTGGTGTCTGTTGATATACTGCTGGGTCACCGATAGGTTTATGTATATTGTACAGTGTCTGCTGTATATACCCAACTCATAGATACATAGCTTGTCTGTTGATATACTGTTGTCTGTTGATATACTGTTGTCTGTTGATATACTGCTGGAAGCTGCAGGCAGGATATACACTGTATATCTTATATCACTTTTAGGCGGGTCACCGGTAGGTTTATGTACATTGTACACTATCTGCTGTATATACCCAACTCATAGATACAAAGGATATTTAAATAATAGGTACCAAGTTGTGAGGAAGCTAACGGGAAGCTTTCAATGTGAGTTGCCAATACAAATTCTCTAATAGCTGTACCATGAGGAATATATCGACAACGTATAAATAGGGATTTTAACGCCGCTTTGAACAGTCAGACAATAATAATAATGTCCCAGAGAAGTCCTATTGCTGAGAATGCAGTAAAACACCACTTGCATCAATCTGGTATGAGACATGTAAACATAAACAAACTATGGTTTGCTAGAAACAGTCATTTTTTTCTAAAAGGTTGAAAATTAGCACGTTCATAGCAATCCAAACACGTGATTTCACGCTCAATACATCATTGATAACGTAAACGGGACAATGGTGTTGACAGTGCAGACGTTATTGTCAACATGATACCATGCATGACTGTTAACACAATGTATATATCGACACATAAATTGGACACACAGGTTTCAATACAGAAACCATATTTTCTCGAAGGTTGTTTTGAAGTTGGATAATAAAACTCTTGTGTGTCTCCTTCTGCTGTCACACAAACGTATGAGGACGACTCACACAGCCATGTTATAGTTTCTATTAACATTATATTGCGTCTGGAAAGTAAAGGAATATATTACATACAAACGCAAGTTTCTCAGAATTTTTTGCCTCTCCTACAACAGATAGTTTCATACAATTTAGTTACGAACAGCAGCATCTACATTCTAAGAATTACTTTGTCACTTTACTATAATTACTTATAACATTTATACATTACTTTTGTTGCTTTTAATTATCAACCCTGAATTATAACTGAATCATCTTATTACTCTCAGACTACAAGTCAATGCTGTTGGCGGTGCTACACGTGTGTTCAGGTGAGTGGCTGCACATACGATTAGCATGTCAGACTACATGTCAGGGAGTTCTTTGCTGTTAGCGGTGCTACATGTGTGTTCAGGTGAGCAGCTGCACATACGATTAGCATGTCAGACTACATGGCAATGAGTTCTTTGCTGTTGGCGGTGCTACACGTGTGTTCAGGTGAGCAGCTGCACATACGATTAGCATGTCAGACTACATGGCAATGAGTTCTTTGCTGTTGGCGGTGCTACACATGTGTTCAGGAGAGTGGCTGCACATACGATTAGCATGTCAGACTACATGTCAATGAATTCCTTGCTGTTGGCGGAGCTACACGTGTGTTCAGGAGAGTGGCTGCACATACGATTAGCATGTCAGACTACATGTCAATGAGTTCTTTGCTGTTGGCGGTGCTACACATGTGTTCAGGAGAGTGGCTGCACATACGATTAGCATGTCAGACTACATGTCAATGAGTTCCTTGCTGTTGGCGGAGCTACACGTGTGTTCAGGTGAGTGGCTGCACATACGATTAGCATGCCGGACTACATGTCAGGGAGTTCCTTGCTGTTGGCGGTGTTTCACATGTGTATAGGTGAGGGGCTGCACATACGATTAGCATGTCAGACTACATGTCAATGAGTTCCTTGCTGTTGGCGGTGTTTCACATGTGTTCAGGTGAGTGGCTGCACATATGATTGGCATATTGGAACAGTTTCTTAAGCGACTTGGTGGCGTGGCTCGATCCTTTTATTACCGTATTCGCCATGCTTGTATACAACCAAGAATATGTAGAGGGCGTCATGGAAAATGATAAATATTAAATTCTTTGGAATAGGCCCCTACACAGCCTCAGACCTATCCAGGCCAAATAACCTGATCTTGTCCCTTTAGATAATCCCAATGGAATCATATATATGTCGATGCATTTTCTGTCCCTTTTGACACTAATGTGAAGGACAAGACTCAAGAAAAAACATGACAAATATGCGGACCTCGCTTTCGAAATGTCACACTTGCATCCCAAGTTGTCCGACTCCTCACTGTTCTCGGGGCCTTAGGTTTGGTACCTCCCTATCTGTTGACGGGCATTAGGAGACTACCCGGGGTTGCTGCCAGGAATACAGCCCTTCTGACCATGTTGGTAATGCAGAAGGCTGCAGTGTTGTGGAGTCTTCACATTCTCCGAACTGTTCTGGGTTGGTTCGAATGGGCAGCTTTTCCGAGCTGTCTGGGCTGCATGTAGAGGGGGCAAGGGTCCTGAGCTGATGATGAGCCTAACCAGCCTGACTGTGAACCCTCTTTGCTGCATTTATTTATTTAATTAATAATAATGTAATAGAACGTTACGTGTGAAATTAAAATACTGTCTGAAATTGAAATATATCATAAATTGACATTTGCCACAATGCCAAAGTAATTTGGTGCGAGCTAGTAAAAGTATGATTGATGGTAATCATTGCACCTATTAGCCCATGAATCCAATGGTAAAATGTATATGCAGGCATAGTCCTTCCATGTTCATGTTCACACCTGAAAGAAGTTATACACCTAGTAACGATGAACCGTCACGCACGCTTTGCTCTGTTCCATGGTTCGTGATGAGTTCAACTCATTTTCATGTGTAAATAATGTTTTGTTATATGCTACCAATATTACATGAATAACACGTGGATGTGCCTTACTGTGGTTTTGTGGTTACCTACAATCGCTTGTAGTTAGTGAGCATGGTTTTACGCTTTTATGAATATTTCAGCAATATCGCGGCGGGGGACACAGGGAAATGGGCGTCACTCATTGTACCCATGCGGGGATTCGAACCGGGTCTTCCGCGTGACGAGCAAACGCTTTAACCACAAGGCTATCCCATCGCCCTCAATTGCTTGTAAATGAATAGGCCAGAACTGTGATTTCATGCAAGGGTAGGAGTGAGTGAGTGAATTACATTTCATTGTCGCCCCGGCAATGTTTCATCCGTATACAATGAAGGAGAACAGAGATAATGATAATACTTGAAATAGCAATAATGCACTGGTGGGATCAGAAAGGGATATCCCAAATAGAACAAGAGAGAACCATCATTATACAGATCTGTTTAACATGGATGACAGACTTAACACTGCATCAGTAAAACTTTCCTGTTAATAATAAACAGTGGTTAAATGGTTCATTCTGCTGCAACATGGCACAACTAATCACTGTCGAAGGGTGTTTAAAAAATCAACAGTATTGTTCGTTGCTGCCATTGAACACATTTATGCGAATAAAACGTCATCATATGCTTGAACACATGTCGGTACCTATCGATTGAGTTAAGACCCAAGATATTTAACAACACAAGAAAAAAGACAATAACATATTTCATTAGTTATTGGTAAAATATATATGATTCCCATGTTGTATGTTGCTTTGACAGAGCATGTTACGAGTCTCGAACCGTTTGCGTTACTGATCATTAAAGGTTATTTCTATTTTCATAAACTTTTCTATTTTTTCTTCGATTAAATAGAAGTGTACTGAACGTCTATATTGACGCAATAACTGAGCTGTACTCAATCGGAACTGTGTTTGTATTACTAAACGACGTCATGTCATACACATATACCATACATCGCCACTGAATATCTCGACAGATGCGGGTGCAAGTGACCACTCACTGTATATAGAGGCGTACATAGGCGTGACAGAACACAACGATCGTGGGTCCGAATCGATATCCAAGTTTATGTTTCTTGGTTTGTCAGCACGTGGGATTCACCGAAGAAATAAACATCAAAGTTGACATGCCATGATGTAATATAGATACTGTGTCTAACACGGCGTTAAACAAACTGTTACTCACTCACTCTAAAACTCTAAATAAACCTGCAATCATATGACAGAGACTGACTCCGCTATATTTAGCCACTCCTGAACTAGTTTAAAGCGACTGATAAGAATGTAAACACGACCTTGTATATTACTTCCGTGTTGAGCTACCCGGTCACACATGACGACTGTAACAACGATTTTTGTCTAACAAACTGAGGCCTCATCAAGAATGTGTAAAGTATACATTTCTAACCTCATCACATGACACCTTGTATGTTAATGTATATTTGTATCACCTTGTCGAACATACATTACATAATGTATTTTGGAGTAACCTACAATATCTCTTTATACTCGTGTACTTTGACCTGGCCTCTGTTTGTGTATAAATGTTACCTGTGTGTCAGCTATCTGTACGTGTAGGGTTAATTAAAACACAAAGCTTTACAGGTACAACCTAGAACCTGAACACAGCTGATTTGAATGGGATTGTCTGGGTCGTCTAAAGGCAATGCAGAGTGGTGTCCCTTTGTCCGTAATACTAAACGTCTACTCTATTCACACCAGTATGGAAATATGCGCGAGTGCGATGGGAACGCAGGACATATAGATGAACAGTCACATCAGACTTACAGTTTCCAGTTGTTCATATCATGTATATTACAAATCTGGCCTCAATGGAAATTTTGCAAATAGTTACTTTAATTCTTTAAGGCGACAGAATTCCTTTTGTTTCCTTTGACGTCGGAAAGGCAGAGAGTTTTAATGATATTCAAAACTATCCCCTTACTGATGCCTTGTACCAGTATGTATGTTCATATTATCAGCATGATCGTCTTTCCTTCAGTCATGGGACGGACTTTCTTAGGCATGCCAGGATCCAATGATTGTGGGCTCCAAGTCAAGATTCCCATGTTATGTTCATATATGTATGTGATATGAAACATGTGTCATGTGAGCGTATATCACACTTTTAATAAATGTTTGTGTTAGTACAGTTAACAATATGATCACAAATTATTCTATCATGTTGAAGGTCCTGAAGTTTATACGCATATATTCATCTGACTCGTCCATCAGCGTTCACTGTGCAATACGTACGTACTGTCACACCGTCTAACACATCGAGGACTATTATCACACACACACTATCATCACAGCATAGTTGATACCAGACAGCTGATAAGACAGTAATATGATCCTTCTCTCATATGAATATCTCATTGATACCAAATGTATCAATCAGCATCCAAATGACTGATATATCGTTTCAGGTCTCACCAAGGTACCAGACAACACGCATAATGAAAATAGCTGCTGCAACTATATTTTATGTGATTGCAGGTAATAATTTCGTGTCAGACACATGTGTTATGACTGTATATTTTACTTATTTAAATAGTAATATTACCCGGCATACTTGATATAAATAGAATATCTTCTTGTTTAATCATAATAACAGGTCAATCAGAACATGACGACTTGGCGTAAAGTACATTCAAACCTCATGCTACATGCTACATATCCACATGACTTCTTCCTGCAGGTGTTGTGTCAGGTGCACCCAGTGCCAGTCCAGTGTCGTCTCCAGTGTCTGACACGGCCAGGTTCAGCTGGGAGATTCCACAGGGCGGTCTGGGGTCAGGTACTGGTTTCTACGCTGTCAGTCCTGCTGGTGATGCGGCCGTGTTCGTAGTGACAAGTTCTCTGACAGTTGTTATCTTGCCCAACTACAGAGGCAGACTGGAGTACCAGGGGAACATAGCAGCCAGGAATGTCACCTTCACCCTCAGCAACATCCAGACATCAGATGCAGGGACATACACGTGTGGGGACGGAGGGGCTACTATTGTGATACAGAACTGTGGACAGAAACTTGTTGTTTTGGGTGAGTGGCTACTAAGTTTTGATTTGTTGACGTTTCGTACACATAGTTTAGTCCTCTTTATATTCCATATACATATTCAGATAAAAACATAAACTTGTGTCTTAAATAAGAATGTATCGTAAACATAATCGTCCGGGTTTATGAATTAGGTAAAGAACTCTCAGTTATAAGGAATGCTGTCACAACGGGGTAACAGTATATCCTCCATTGGTGCTTTGTTCTTCACTGTTCAATTCATATCAGCAAATGAATACCTACTTATGATACACACTAGGTTGCACAAAAATGTGTTTTATTGAACATAAGTTCTCCTTTAAATAAAAATACAACCACGTGGGCAGTTTCAAAACAAAAGCAACCTTTCATCACTTGACTTTCCTCGGAACGTGTCCTGATTATAAAATTTTAAAAAAAATTGTTTTTAAAATTAAACAGTTGTTCTGTGACAATACATGTATTCCTTGTCTCTAATAATATTAGGCACGGTGTGGTAGCCTTGTGGTTAAAACCCCCGCTTGAAGTCCCACATGGGTGCAATGTGTGAAGCCAATTTCTGGTATCCCCAAGTGTGATATTTGCTAAAAGACTGATTGAAACCACACTCACTAAAATAATATTAGATGTCGCAGGTAACAAACGATTGTAATGAAGATGAATGTCACCTGCATGCAAGGTAACACTGGTAAAACACATGTGGTATTACTGTCAGGAGGATATTTACAAAAATAATGATATTTAGAAACGGATCAGTTGTAACAGCAAAATATAAACGCAAACAAAAGACACCCTCTTTATCTCGAACAACCGCTCACCCATTGACGGCAACAAAGTGATTGTCGTGAGTGAGTGAACACTATAAATATGGGAGGACATTTTCTGAACTGTTACCACTCTTGAAAAATCCACAAGACGCGTGTGCTGCTGTCAAAATCTAACTCGCCTGGATGACCCAATTCTGACAGAGAAGTGCATCCTGACTCAAATAATTACAGACTGTTGATATATTGATGACAGGGGTAAACAGCAAACGGATAGGCATGTCAACAAACAGTATTCAAGCATACTGCGCCGAACGCCAGCAGTCACTTGGTTACCCTACAAATGTATGCATTTAGTGCATGGCCTCGTTCTTTAGGAAAATGTATGTTGTGATATCATGAGTGGTAATATCGAATCTATTTTACTGATTGATTTTGAAAACCCGCGTGTATTCAGAGCAAGCAAACATAGCAACTCATTGATGTGTATGAATGTGTATCCTTATGGAACTAAACAAATACACGTGTGTCCTTTTGCAACATCACCTCATCACACCCTCGTATCTATATTGTTAGAGGCATCATGTACACTGACAATATCAACTTTTGATAAATTATAGTGAATCGTGCAGTTGTCATTTGTTTATGTTAACTTGGTCAGTGTAAAATTATAAATCAATTCACGTCACATTTGTTTAAATATATTCACAATATCAGTTATGGAGGGATTCAATAATCGTAGTTATATCAACCGCCAGTAATATATCCATTACAAAATCAATATTTCTATGAACGGGTGGTATCTGGTCGAATGTTATAGAAGGGGTATAATCGGTGTCTGAGGTTTGAATACATTCAGTAGTGGGGTCGTTCTCCACTTCCTAGGTATAGCTATAAGCAAAAAAGCTATACGCATAAAAAGTAAATTTCTGCAGAACTTTTTTTCCTTAAGATCCAAAACATTTTAAACCGAAATTGTAGGCCCTGCTTATTGTGGATTCGCTTTTGATAATTGCTTACATTCGTGGGAGTTCATGGTCGTAATGTGCCTCCGTATGTTTGTACTTGGTATTGGTTTTATTTCGGGAAAGTTATCTAGTGTCTAGTTATAGTCGCTACGGTGGTTTGGAGCCAAAATAAAAAAAAACATCTATGATGTCACTCCATTGTTCCAACTGTTGATTATCTGTAACCAATTGACAGTTCACTGACCTACTTTCTGCAAGGCAAATGTTGAGCTTATGCATTAATTCTAAACACGGGCTTTACGAATCTACTGGCTGCAGCAACCAAATCGCAGAAAATACAAGTGTGCGCTGTACGAATATTCTGATAAGGTTTACACATATTACAAATGAACTGCTTGACATTTCCGTGAATCATATTTTTATTGTATTTGTGTTCTCTTATTTGTGGATCCATTGTCACTTTCAGGCTGTATTTTGCATCTGATTACACAGTATTTTGTTGATCCTGTATTTTGAGTCATGTCATTTAAATTAATACATAAATAAATACTTAACATACTAATAGGGAAAATCTAATCTGTCCTAATGATGTTAAACTTCTTCAAATACAGGTTTAGTGATGTTTGTTGCACGTACATATGCACAAAATGAATAAAAGAAGTTAAAACTGATTTATTTGTACTGTTAGGATAGACTGTTGTATTAAAACTGTATAAAACTTAATGTTACATGTGTCCAGATGAGCAAGAATATTATATTATACTTCAAAGACATTATCTAAACTTTTGGGGGTTTATGTCGTGTAAACATGTCTCAATACTTGATGGGGATCGCTATTTCAACCCTCGTGACACAACATTTGAACACACAACAGAAAAGGTTTTAGCACATTAAAGACCGTTATTGTTTCTTATCTGTTGATTTGATCCAACCCAACATCGTGTCCGATGAAGTCGAGGAATTGTAATCTTGTCAATCAATGATAATTCGTTTTAAAGACTCGTTATTTTGTTCTTGAAAGTATATGACCATATGAGTTTGTCATAACGTTTGTCAACCTCAATGTTGAGCATGTAGCCATCGTCGTTGACGTCACACTAGTTCTGTTAGATTCATGAGATGGTTAAATGTGTAGAAGACGCAATCTTCTCACGAATGCTTATCTTTAAGAGTGGATTATAAGACTTTATTACGATTCATTACAATGTGTTAATATGAAGATTGTTATCCATTCATAGCTGGTGTTAAGATTGCTAACATGCTAACTCACGCCACTATTGTCTTTTCTATCAAGCTCCTAATTTACACATGAAGTCTTTTGAAAGGCAAGCCCACCACTCCTGGTCGTCCAGTGTCCACAACTCCTGTCTACAACCAGACAGTGACCTTGACCTGCAGCTCCACCTCTACCACTGTCCCAGCTGACCATGGTCTGACCTTGACCTACACCTGGCAGCGTGACAACACTGACATCACAGTTACCTCTCCTGGTCCCCCCTACATCTTCACAGTGAGTTCCCGGGACAGTCACAGCTACAGATGCAGGGCCAGAGAAAGTCAGGGTCTGGAGTCAGAGTGGAGCCAGGGGTACAACATGGAGCCACAGTGTGAGTACAGTAAACACGTTACTTATAAATGTCTCACGCTACTGATTTATGTGAGGTTCAATCATCAATTGTCAATATGAACAGTTACAAAATATACAATAATAAAATACAAATAACTGCATTTAGAAGTACATTCTTCGAAGAAACCGGAAGGGAGGGTCAGTGACATTAGCTATTGATATATTGTCTGGCTGTTCACATGCCATTGGTAGTTAAGGGGTCTACTAAATTAATCTGTTACTCACCCACTGTTAACAAAATGATGGATCTATTCCTTGTCATCAGTGGTTTATTCAAATGGAGGCGTTGCTAACACTGTGAAACTGTACACTTTTCCTACTCTTACTCTGATCTTCTACTAATCCAAACAGTCATCCACACTATACACTTTACTCTCATCACTCGCTGAATTATTGAAATAAGTAGTTGAATGCGATGAGTTATTACACTAGCTTTGTTTATATCGAAGGGCTCCAAAATAAATAGACATATGAATATATATGATATATACATCGAAAGGGTATACAGACTCACTTTTAGGAAATGTCATAGTCAACAAGACATAACTTACCTACACAGGCTAGATGTTTCCCCTGATGTGTCGTACCTTAGGTTAGGCTATTATGAAGATGTTTATAAAGTAACATTTTGTTCAATGTTAAGTAATATATATTAATTATATACCCTTCGGAGATATTACTGTTTAAACAAACAAATAGTGGTATTGCTCATGATATTAAAACACCATGTCCGGACTATTTGTAGTCATCAGCTGATCCTTGGGATTGCGTACACAATGTTTACTCTACTTTCAGACGATAACCTACTCGAGAAAGAAACTATTAACATTCACGAAACAAGGCAAACAGTGCATTCATCTCAATATTCGCTGCATTGTTTACATATATATTTGAATTTGTCGGCTGGATTTTTCAGTCGCCTGTGATCTATTGCATATAATTTTTTTATTGCAGTATTACAAGTATTGTCGTTGCATAACGCTTCAGAGCATCACCAATAAACAAAACATTATATCGAACCATCAACACAACATTCATCATACTTACTACTTTCAAATTCATTTTGTGAATAAGAGTAGGCCCTATGGACAAAATGGACAGCAACTAGAAATGTCAACCGATGCAATCCCCTGTCTTAGTGCACCGTTATTAGTGATGCCAAACAATAATTACAATCAATTTCATTACTAGAAAGAGTTTCTGTGGTCCAGTGGACATAACTTCCGCCGGAGATCGGATGACTGTGGGTTCGATTCCCGGTCGCGTCACACAAAAATACATTAAAAGACAGTACCTTGACAGGCGCTTGGCATTTTGGTCTAAAACAAGGACTGGTCGGCTCAGGGCCAGTATACTGCAAATCAGTTGACCAGCACAACACACTAGGCATTTGTCCGGACAAGTACAATCAGCCAGACACACACAGACACACGTGCATGCACGTCGTTTTATAACTGTTATAGTCCTGGACACGACGTAAACTACATTTCGCCTCACCTCATAACGTCTAAACTACCTGCTGACTCGTGTACAATCGCATGGGCAACATGACAAACGTGATTGACTGATGTGTCGATCGGCCCTCCTCTCGCATACACATTACCGACTTTGATACAATGAGGCTACATATTCCTGTTGTCTCTCGCTTGGTGATATTAGTGCTTATGCTATTATTAACGTTATAACAGAATCGGGATCTCATCAGTTCTTACAATCGATCTCGGAGAAAGCTTCGCACTATATATTTCCAGTTTGCTCTTTTAGAGAAGAAACCATTATCGAATCATCAGTTACGAAAGTTGTATACATATTCACACGGCACCCTTAAACCAGGGACGTTTTCTTTTAACGTAGAATTTACAAAGCTGCGCGATGGATTCATTTTGAAACACACTCGTAAGGAAAATAGCATCTATCGGGAAAGACTGGATACTAATCTGTCTGTACATATTAAATTTTTGATTGATATGCCATATTGCGTTGGACTTCTTACCTGCACCTTCCTCGTGATCAAACACACAAAACAAACATTAGGTTTTTTCTATGTCGATGGTATTGAATTCTTAATATATCAACTTTGGATTGGTGGAGTGAGTGAGTGAGTATGGTTTTACGCCGCTTTTAGCAATATTCGAGCAATATCACGGCGGGGGACACAAGAAATGGGCTTCACACATTGTACCCATGTCGGGAATCTAACCCGGGTCTTTGTCGTGACGAGCGAACCCTTTGACTACTAAGCTACTCGACCACCCTAGGATTGGTGGAGTTTACAGCAGAAAACAAAAATCTATCAAAGCAAATTATTTTAGTTTTCACAAATTCATGCTTTCCGAAATTTCAGTTGAATCACAGGCTCCACGGGAGATTGACCATTTGCCAGCACCACGTGTGTTTCATAGGATAATTAGATTTTTTGTAAATATATACAGAAGCAGACCGCTGTCAAGTTTCCCCATACTGTTCCTTTTTGTCTCACAGCCTGTCGTCTTAAACAGACACAAAACGTCATAACCATGAAAAAATGATGAACAGAGTATGTATTTATCATGCTGAACAATTATTTTTCGAAGGCCACACCAAACCGTGGAACGTTTAAACAATCGCTCGTTTATGTACATGCTGCTATTAAATACATAATGTGTTGTCATACAGCTTAGAAGGTATTTTTCTGAATATCATCAACTCATCATTGTTTTCCTTATGTGTGTTATTAGAGGTATAACTTTATCTTGTATCACGGTATCAGTGCCACAGTGCCATGTATTCCAGACGGGCCCTACCAGATCTACCTGACTCCCTCCACCTCCTCCTACACTGTGACAGAACACCAGACTCTTCCATCAATCACGTGTTCCGCCCTCTGTAGACCCGGCTGTAGCTACAGGTGGTTACACAATGGAACAGTCTTCAGCAGTGGAGCCACTCTGAGTCTAGGACAAGCTGACAGATCTAAGACAGGCTCCTACAGATGTCAGCCTTCTAATACACACGGGAGTAGTGGCAGTGTTACAGTCAGTGTTGATGTTCAGTGTAAGTATATAGTCTACACTGGTGACAGTGTTACAGTCAGTGTTACAGTCAGTGTTGATGTTCAGTGTAAGTATATAGTCTACACTGGTGACAGTGTTACAGTCAGTGTTAATGTTCAGTGGAAGTATATAGTCTACACATCAGAATCCTTGAACAAAGTGTAAAGTAAAAAATACTTGGTTGTGCATTATCCTTATAATTGTAAAGCGAACCATAGATTTTTACGTTGTTATATTTTCAGATCCCGCCACTGTGAGTATGTTTACTGTCAACTCTCTCGGTGGTTCAGTGACAGTTAATGAATCAGATCCAGTGACCTTGAGATGCCAGGTTGATAGTAATCCGAGGTCAGTCATCAGGTTGCTGAATGGAACGGAGGAGTTGACAAGGGCAGATAACTCCATGACAGCAGAATATAGACTGGAGTCAGCAGACTGTAGACAAAGAGGGAACTACTCCTGTACAGCCACTAACAACATCGGGGCACCTGTCAGCCAGAGGGTGGAGTTGCTGGTCAAATGTAATCTGTTTGGATATTCGATAAGGATGGTAGTGTTGTGATGATTTCCATTGATGGTTAATGTCGCAACTTTGTCTATGATGATAACAGTGTTGTGTAAAAGGCAAACTGACGGTTTGCTTGTATATCTGAGTTATCATGTCTCTTATTTTGATACAGCCAATTTTAAGTATCAACGAAAAGCTCCTTATAAAAAATTCTACATACTCGGTAAATTTGATCTTCATAATATTCTGCCCCCAACGGATATTATTTGTTCCAGAGTCATTGCATATGTGGTCTACATTTAACCAGGTTCTCCTCGGCTTGAGGAGACAGCTGCCCAGCAACTCAAATACGCCGCTAGACTGGCCGGTAACGTGAACGTGTCTGTGTCAGTCCTGGCCTACCCCCTTCCTACATTCACCTGGAGTAGAACCACAAGCACTAGCCAAGACCTCACTGGTTCCTCCAGCCCTGTCTCAGACATCTCGGTCACTGCCAGACTACATCTTACTAACCTCCAACAGCAGGACTTCGGGGACTACAGTCTGACAGCCAATAACGGTGAAGGCGGTTTAGTGACTTACACAGTCAGCGTAGTGTCTGAAGGTGAGCCGCGACATTCTGATGTATCATTCACTAATTCAGGATACAATTGTTCATATGTTTCAATACCTATATTTGACTGTTGTTTAAACATTACATCTTCACTGTACAAATAATGAGATTAACATTAGAAACATTCTCTGAGAAAGCTTTTACAACATTCCTTTTCATATTAATTTGTTTAAAGGGCCACCACAGATACCTACACAGTTTAGAGATCTGGATAATGCAACAACGTCGTCGGTATGGTTATCCTGGCTGCCTGGGTTCAATGGTGGAAACCCTCAGACGTTTCTGCTTGAGTATCTCAAGTTTGAATCAAGAACTTGGACTGTCTACAAGACCTATGCAGACACCGGCAAGATGATGGTGGTGGAAGTGACTGGGCTTACACGGGGAGATATTCACATATTTCGACTACATGCTAGAAATGACTATATGGATTCTAACAGATATGTATTAGTAGAAACTAGGACTGCTGGAGGTATGTGTCACTCAAGTCGAATGAAAAATGGTTTAATCTGATGTAAATGTAATTAACAACTCATCACGATAAAAGAATTTGCATACATGCATATGTTGTATTTGAGAGTAATTTCCCATTGTGAAGTACTTCAAGTAATGTTCCTTACATCTTTTCATTAAACGTGAACATGTGTATCGGGGCTCGAGCCAATGAGTTGTAAGTCGGAAACTGGTAACGAATACCCTTTCACCCGACCCTTTACACTGACTATGATTTGCACCCTGTACGTCTGTAATGATGTTCTACTCATATTGCAGATCCACCAAATCAGCAAAACCTTGAAACTCCATGTTCGTGTACAGGGGTGATAGCAGGATCCACAGTTGGGACCCTTCTTCTTACTTTGCTCATCGGGGGAATTGTTCTGATGGTACTGTACAGAAAGGTATACAAGCCTAGGCTCGGACATATTCTGAAAGGTAAATAATTAAATTTCCTTTGTAAAGCGATTGTCAATAGGAATAATTTAATAATGATTTTCCATTATATTGATGAATGGGTTTGAAAACCTTATTGTCAGGCCTAGGATTTCCTTATTTGCATGTATTCGACATTAATATTGACAGAAAAGACACATTTGTATCATCAAATTTATGTTGTTAATAATATGAACATGCAGTCATTTACAGTTGACTTGATCCTTGCCACTGTAGGTTTCCTTTATGAATGAAAAGTGTTTTGCCATGTGTGATGTGTGTTTTACATTATGTACCATGTGGCTATTTTTGTTTTCCAGAAACTTCATTACGAAAAAGGTATTATGAATGTCAAAGTTAAAGATAACAATGTACGGAACATGTGAAAATACTAAATAAGGTAATAGAGCCATGATAAGATAACTAAAGACGTATATTATAAACTGAAGTTTAGCGCTCCATTCCATTATGTTTCTTGTTGAAACGGACCTTGTTAATTTTGCAGCACCAGGAATCCTGAAACTGTAGAAATGGACAACAGAGGGTATTCATCACTAGGTATGTACTGGTTATTGGTTGTTACCCTTTTGCTGAAATTACTATTATGTATGGGACTGTTTAGCACTGAAGTCATTACAATATTTCCAAAATGTTTTGTTTCAGATCAAATTAATGGTCCTGACCAGTATTCAAATTTAGAGGAATGAGAAAAACAACAGTACTCACATTTGAAGATTTATGACAATACAAAAGGTAGATAAAGGTTTGCTCAATACTGATTTAAATTTCAGTATTCCACTAAAGGTAATATTGAAGTGCTATTAAGAAGAGTTCTGAAGTGGATTTCTGGTTAAATACGTAATGAATTACATCTTCAGCGGATGCTGCAGCAGATACAAGTACCTATGAAGGCATGGCAGAGACTCCCCCTGTGACCTATGAGTCCATCAAACCATCTCCATACCAGAACACTGGAGCACATTCTCAAGGTAACCAAAACATGGAACACTCTTGCTGGTTGAATTCTTATATCATTGCCATGGATCAACTGTGTGCATGTACAGAACCGTTAAACAGAGGCATATACCTTCTTTCCTATCCTAATATAACACGTTTAGCATCCCATGCTATTGTGAGTTGACATATAATTTGTCATATTCTGTGTTTAATTACATGTAGTCTGTATTTTTCAGGTCCGGACAATGGAAATAAGTAACGAAGAAGGAATTCATTATTGTATCACTTCCAGTAACAGACCAAGGAACGCAGCATATTAGATTTCAAAACATTTTTAGACCAATGAAGATCCGGCGTAGAATAGGTCTTCAGCAAACCAGGATCGTCCAAACAGACAACTCTCCATTGTGGTAGAAGGCGGCTAACGGGATCGGGTGGTCAGGATCGGTGACTTGGTTGATGCATGTCAGCGTATCCCAATTGCGTAGATCGATGCTCATGATGTTAATCACTGGATTGTGTGGTCAAAACTCGATTATTTCTTGACCATATGTCTGGAATATTGGTGAGTGCGGCGTTTAACAACAATTCAACAACAAAACATCTGTATCACTTACTTCACTGTTTCATTACATTGTTTGAACGTTTGCTCGATACAAGGACAGTTACAGAAACCAACCATGGACCATGGCGAGTAAGTTAAAGGAGATCAGTCAAGTTATGCTGGTTATGCTCATGTCTGTTTACGTATCGCCTTTATGTTTGCAACTGAATATTTCACATTGCACTAAATAATGTATTTGTAAATACACGACAGGTGTGTTTTAGAGGAGAAAAACGAATACAACGTCACACACTTCAGAAATGAGATATTAATCATGATACAACAAACTGCTTTCATGCTGATCATTGAATTAAGCTTACATGTGAACAATATTCCATCTACAGATGTACAATACTTACCCCAAAGCCAGGCTATAATTCTTCCGCACACGCAGCACGTCAGGGTTACAGAAATAAATCATTCCGATTTGTGACTTATTACAAAATATGTTTCCTTTTTTTTACAAACAACGTTATTTGGTTGACTTGTTAGCATTTGTTCAGTTTGTCCATGTGTTAGCCAACACCATATACACGAGTTCCCACTTTAGATAAGTATTGTGATGTTGTTTCACAACTTATATCCAGTGTCATTCTGAAGACGATGTCAGTGACCAGATTCTCAAGATTACACATTTCACTTGTTCAATAAACAGAGTAAGAATACACAGACTAAACTGTATCTATTCATTTATTTATGTATATATTTATTTCTGTAAATATAAAACATCAAGGCAGAGAATAATCAGTCTCGTGCATCTGCTGAAACAGATTCCATTGAGTTTAAAAGGTACAACATTGGTGAAACTTATGTGAATGGATCGTTGACAATAAGTGAAAAGGTTTTTCAATGGCTTGGTTATCACAGATTGCATATGTTTGAGCTACAATTGAACATTCTCTTGATTATACACACGAAAAGTACTTGAAAAAAGGGTCAACGTTTCCTTTATGTCGAGCATATATTCCAGCTGCTCCAGCTTTAGGTTTCTGCATTTCACAACATTTTAGGTACAATGTAGCACGTGTTATCCACGAAGAGTAGCACATGTTCGCGAACACAGCAAAGTAATTCCTGAGTAGTTGATAAACCTTCTACAATGGGCTTAACATTTAACCAAAGACTTGACTCCAATCCACGTTTGCTCATCATTATCGTCGAGAATAGGTTGAGGACGTTTCGTCCCCAAGGCCTCTAATCATTCGCTTTACCGGATAAAACTGCTTGACGAGCGCCAGCTATCCTGAGGGAAACTTCGGAGGGAACCAGCTACTAGATGGTTCGATTAGTCTTTCGCCCCTATACCCAAGTTCGATATATATATATGCTGACGTCGTATATCTTTGTAGTTATCAAGGGAGCACGGGTGGCCCAGTCGTCTAAGGCGCCGCAATTCGCTGTGCAGAGTTGCGTCCCTTGGGCAAGCCAGAAACCTATGATAGTGGGTTCGAATCCCGGTTCGCCCCGATTATGTTTCTAGGTTTGTCAGCACCATACCCGTGCTCGTGGGTTTCACCGAAGTGGTAAACGTCTGAGACCTGCATCACTCCGGGCTTTCCTCCCACATTAAGCTGACACGCTGTGATATAACTGGAATACTTTTTTGAATATCGGCGTTAAACAAAACTCACTCACTCAATTGTAATTATCATGTAGTATTGTACTTGTCTAGTATTACGACAGTAGACAGGGTTTATGTTTAGTTAAAATTGATTATAGGGTCATAAGCATATATAATATATATATCATTGTGCAGGTTACAAACTACATGAATTACATAGGTTTCTCGCTATGTTAAGTTCATATAATTGAATGTCAATTATATTTAAGGCCATTATGTATATTATAACAATGCCAATGTTCTATGTCTTTTTGTGCCGTATGTCTTATTATTTATACATTGTTTCAGGCCGTATTTGTTCACTTTTCACTTCTGAGAGAATTTAACAGTCATCCGCTCACACCCTGTAGCCGTTTGTTGTGTTTACCACCCGACAACTAGGTGCTACTACAATAGGAGAAAATCTTTAGCAGAGTTTAGAGGTATCAAATTTAGCTATTGAGTAATTAATACTAACCACGTTTAGCTATTTACCATCAGCTGCTCCATGCGTTACTAATGCTTTAATAACTGCTGAGCGGCGTCAGGCAACAAGCGCATGCTTAGACGTTATATGCGTTGTGTGAGTGGCGGTCGCTACCGATAAAGCAGGACATGCTTGCAATTTCCTCGAACACCTGGTGTGATTACTGAATTGCAATGATCCATTGGTAGTGGAAAACGACTGATATACTTACAGATGCAGTATATACTTGATGGCATGAACAGATATTTTCACAGATGTTGCTGCCGGTGAAAAAGTGATATGTTCACAGATGTAGTTGACGGTGGAGGAAATGAACTGATATGTTCACAGATGTAGTTTACAGTGGAGGAAATGGACTGATATGTTCACAGATGTAGTTGACGGTGGAGGAAATGGACTGATATGTTCACAGATGTAGTTGACGGTGGAGGAAATGGACTGATATGTTCACAGATGTATTTGACTGTGAAGGAAATGGACTGATATGTTCACAGATGGAGTTGACGGTGGAGGAAATGGGCTGATATGTTCACAGATGTATTTGACTGTGAAGGAAATGGACTGATATGTTCACAGATGTAGTTGACGGTTGAGGAAATGGACTGATATGTTCACAGAAGTAGTTGACGGTGGAGGAAATGGACTGATATGTTCACAGATGTAGTAGGTGGAGGAAATGGACTGATATGTTCACAGATGGAGTTGACGATGGAGGAAATGGACTGATATGTTCACAGATGTAGTTGACGGTGGAGGGAAATGGACTGATATGTTCACAGATGTAGTTGACGGTGGAGGAAAAAGACTGATATGTTCACAGATGTAGTTGACGGTGGAGGAAAAAGACTGATATGTTCACAGATGTAGTTGACGGTGGGGGAAATGGACTGATATGTTCACAGATGTAGTTGACGGTGGAGGAAAAAGACTGATATGTTCACAGATGTAGTTGACGGTGGAGGAAAAAGACTGATATGTTCACAGATGTAGTTGACGGTGGAGGAAAAAGACTGATATGTTCACAGATGTAGTTGACGGTGGAGGGAAATGGACTGATATGTTCACAGATGTAGTTGTCGGTGGAGGAAATTGACTGATATGTTTACAGATGTAGTAGGTGGAGGAAATGGACTGATATGTTCACAGATGTATTTGACTGTGGAGGAAATGGACTGATATGTTTACATATGTAGTTGACGGTGGAGGAAATGGACTGATATGTTTACATATGTAGTTGACGGTGGGGGAAATGGACTGATATGTTTACAGGGCTCCATCTAAGCACAAACGGGCGAAGGCAAACGAATTGTCAACTCAATTCGTAATGATTCACGAAGATGTCCCCCACATATCATATATATTCCAAATGTCGTTGAACATCACATTTACAGTCTTATACAGTATGATGGAACAGATTTAGCTGTATCTTTGTCATATTTTTGCAATACATATGTAAAATCAAATTATTTCTGAGGGATTCTTCGACCGAAGTACTTGAAGTCATATACGCATTCTGGTTGGTTTGTCGTAGTTTCGCACATAACATTCATCGATAGGGGAACGAGTCTTCTTGCAGGTTACGGAAAGAGGCGAGCGGTGACGAATGCCCTCTCTGTTGCCTGATCCGTATCACATACCTTAATTACATTAATAAGAGAACTAAAAATATTTGTTACAGGTTGTTTGTAAACTTAGATTCCTCCGAAAACGGTCACAGCTACATGGTGGATCGCTTACCACAAATCATGTGCGCACATACATCAACAATTTCGAAAATGCAAACTGAAGCACTTCGAAAACGCTTGTTTCAAGTTGAGTAATACTTGGCGTAAAGCAAAACGAATGAAATGAAGTTGTTCTGTGCATGAGATAATCAGACAACAACGTCGCCACACCACTCTTCCGCATCTGATTTTACAATCTTAATTTTCAAGCACAACATCAGAACAGGTGAGTTGATTGATAAATGTGCTCTTTAAAAAAACATGTTTTTTGTACACAATATTTTACAATGGTCCCTCAAAATTACAAGATGCTGGTAGAATAGGAGTTATCGTTCTTGTTTAAAGCAGCATCTGTGTTCATGCCACTCCATTCATTTGAGGGTCACCAGTCTCCATTTGGCTTGTGCCCGAATGGCACGAGTTGGACACGAACACGTGGGGAGACATTCAACATGGAGTGTGTCCGCCATTAGCGTTAACTGTCACACATCATGTAACTTAAAATTCGTGTTTTTGTTGTCGTTCATCGTATAAAAGCCTATTGTATTTTTTATTCTTGTTCCGTGTATAATGTTCTGCTGATACCAATTTGGAGGGAAGGATTTTGGCATTAATATTGACTGTTTGGTTGATACATGTCATCATATTCCAATTCCGTGGATTGATGCTCATGATGTCAACCACTGGATTGTCTGGTTCAGACTGGATTATTGACAGGCCGTCGCCAAAAAGCTGGAATGTTGCTGAGTGTGGCGTTAAACAACAAACAAACAAGAAAAACACTTTCCACTGAAGTCAGGGATCCTATTTCGGAGGTTAATGCAGCTTGAACAGTATTCCAGTCATATCACGGCGTGTCAGCTTGATGTGGGAGGAAAGCCTGAAATGATGCAGGTCGGATACGTTAAGCACTGGTGAAACCAGTCAGAAAGAGCGTGGTGCTTACAAGCTGGGCGCAAATTGCGTCGCCACCAGGCAACAACTTGACAACATAGCTAATTTTAAATCTTTATTAAAAACAAATTTACAAATGTAATGAGGGAAATCACCAAGTAATCTCACATTTAAACAGCCCTGTGTTCTTACAGGATGTTACAATGAAAGGAGCATGAAACATACATAGAAATATATACATGTTAATCATGGGTTTGTGGATCTATACTGCTTTCAGCATTACATCAATAATGTCAGATAATCAGACAGTGTGACATGTTAACAATTGAACCCCACCCTGCAAACACTTCAACCATGATGCCGTGCCGGGCTGTCACCTCAATGTTTGGCTATAGATATGAAATATTTATCATCATTAATGTCACTGGACTTATGGTTTGATACCCCTGTTTGTATACTCATACGGTGAAGAATGTCTATGCTTGTTTAGACGGTATCAAATGAATACAGCCAGAGCAGCATGGCTCAACCACATCTGTATATATCCATTCTCATGATTGGCCTAAAGAAAGTTTCAAAATTTATATGACAAATGCAGACAGAATTTGAAGCATTGCGGAAACATATATGTATCCTCAACTATAAACAATAAACCTATGAATTACCCGAGTGTCAACGCATTAACGTTTGATCTGTGCTTATTTGTATTCAGATGTATATATCCAGGGCAGCATGGCTCAACTACACTTGTATATATCCATCCTCCTGATAGAGACCAACATACATTTCATATGGCTGTGTTCGAGTAAGTGGTGACAGAACATGGATGTAAGAATTACAGCTGACTTTAGAAGACAAATATAACTGATCAAGGATAAGGGGTTTGATTTGAAGAAGGACTTCGTTAACTGTATCAACGGATATCTATGTAGTCAGCATCCTTTGTAACTAGGATTATACATATTGTCGTATTGTAGTTTTCAGTGTGACAAGCACAGATATGGAAGCAGCATGGCTATAGGGACACTCCAGTCCTTGAGAGTTCGTAAACGTCATGGAGGAAAGAAGCTTGCTCCACACTAGTCCATTGGTATTCGGACGAAATGCTGGAGAGAGAGATACAGTCGTTTTATATGAACGCAGATAGACGATGGTTTAACATGCATGTATACATTCTATTATCAACACGAAAACCTTTACTATCCTGGAGCAGGATTTAATAACCTACTTGCAGCTCGGAGTGACGGATTATCTGTCTTGAGGAAATTAATTTGTCCTGAGCCTTGTCACTAGAGGAGACATCATGTCAGTTCCAATAACGGATTGACTACGTCACACACCGACTGACGTCATAAACAAGGAATGCGTCATTATTCATTTTATGCAAGCCATGACTTAATATGACGTGGCGTTGCTGTGGTACGCTTCGCAAACAATGAAAACAATGTGACAATGGAATGACGTAGACAATTAGCATGAAGAAGAAATTTTAATGCTCAGTGAGAACTTCTGAAAATAATTGCACCTGTACCCTTGCCCCTATCGATAAAAAGCTATACTACTATTTGGTATCATTATTTGCCTACTGATACAGGGCTG